ATTTTTTTAAAAAAACCTTTTTCTATCCACTCTAGGGTTGCCAACCCCCCCAGTTTGCCAGGGGTCCCCTGTTTTTTGGGGGGGTTCTACCCGCCGCCGGCCAGATGGCCAGCGGGGGAAGCCCCGCCCCCAACACCCACAGCCACCAATCTCTCTCCCCCTAAGGGTGTGGAACCCGTGTTTCCTCCCAAGCCCAATCTCCGCAAGCTTCCAGGGAAATGCCAGCTTCCAGCTCTCAAAAGGGAAACACGGCTGTTCTGAAAGGGGAAACGCCGGCTCCTACATCCAAAACAGAAATGCCGGCTCCTTCAAGTGCAGGGGACTGCTGTTTCTGGAAATCCTTCCAGCTCTTAAAAGGGAAACGCGGCTGTCCTTAAAGGGGAAACGCCGACTCCTGCATCCAAAAGGGAAACGCCGGCACCTTCAAGTGCAGGGAACTGCCGTTTCTGGAAATCCTTCCAGCTCTTAAAAGGGAAACGCGGCTATTCTTAAAGGGGAAACGCCGACTCCTGCATCCAAAAGGGAAACACCGGCTCCTTTAAGTGCAAGGAACTGCTGTTTCTGGAAATCCTGCACACAGGCAGGTGGGGGGGGGCAGCGGACGTCCCCAATGCAACATCATCACGTCGGGGATTCCCCGCCCCCTCCAGGAACGCCCCCAAAGTCCCCCGCTGGGGGTGGAAGATGGACTTGGCAACCCTAATCCACTCCCTTTTCTTTGGGGGTATTTCTTTGTTTCGAAACCCTTGCAAAACTAAGTCTCTGTCAAGATGGCAACTGTCTGTTCATGTGCAATCAGAGGTCTTCACATGGTCCCAGCAAAGCTATACCAGATTCAAATACAGTAAGCATGCCATTAAAAAGAACGTCACTGATGAAAAGTCGAAACTGAAATATCTGTGATTGCTACAAGCATCTTGGTAACTAGGACCCTCTTCTGATTGATGAAACTGTGGATGGGGCGAGGGTGGGGGAACTTTCAAAAGCCTGCTTTTCTTCCATCAGTCTGGTTTGCCGTTTTGTCAAGTTCAGTGAAAACCACATCACACAGTTTTAAGTTATTCAGGCTGGAGTTGGCCAAAACGCGTATTCTGCAGTGGGCCTTGGCTGATGCAGGGACATAATTCATTGATGAATTTAACAGCAGACCAACGATTCAAGGTGATAACAGAACTAGCATCCACAATGGAGCGTTGGTGGGGAGGGAAGCAAACAGGGCCAAAAGCCTATGGGAGGCGGCACACATCTGTACCCCAGTCAAAGTACCCTACTGGCTCAGGGCAAGGCACAGACCATGCATGGTCTGCCATTTTTCAAAATGGAAATGATATCTTTGAGCCCCTGCCTCGCGCACTTAACAAATAACCACTATCCAGTTCAAGACAATGAGGGAGGATGGTACCATTCACGTGTATATGTACATAAAGGTACACCAAGAGCTTTGTCATGGAAGGCCAGGGCTGACTCTTGTTCCCTATGAATGTTATCAGGGTATCCTTAGCAACAGTACATCTTCATATCTGTCCATCACTCTGTGCTGCATGCTGGTATCATGGTAAGACTGAGTTCTGTATAAAACAAAAACAAATCACTATGGCGCCAGGTGCTTGACAAAGAGCATTGCCTAATGAAAAAGTCTAGTAATATCTGACAGGCACAAACCAGTGAAAACTAGAAGGAAGAGATGCTATTAAGTTGGTGACAGTCAGTTGGAAAAGAGCAGTTATTAAAAATAAACACAGCTTCTGAAAATGTCAGTGAGATTACTTGAGTGGGCATTCTGTTCAGACAATTCAGTATGCTCAGCTACTTTTAGGCCAAACAGTAAAGACAGTATATACTCGAGAGAGAGAAGAACACATAAGCGCCCTGCTAAGATTAGACCGATGGTCCCTTTAGTCTAGCACCCCATTTCACACAGTGGCCAACCAGTTGCCCTGAAGGGCCAACAGACAGAGTTTAGAGGTCTATGTCTCCCCCTGCTGTTGTTTCCTAGCACTGGTATCCAGAAGTTTACTGGGGTTCCCTTTTAGCCACAGCTCATAGTCACTGATAGACAAAGAGAGCCAGTTTGGTGTAGTGGTTAAGTGTGCGGACTCTAATCTGGGAGAACCGGGTTTGATTCCCCACTCTTCCACTTGCTGCCGCTGGATGACCTTGGGCAAGCCACAAGCTCTGGCACAGCTGTTCCTGAAAGAGCAGTTTGTGTCAGAGTTCTCTCAGCCCCACCCACCTCACAGGGTGTCTGTTGTGGGGAGGGGAAGGGAAAGGAGTTTGTAAGCCGCTCTGAGACACCGAGTGAAGGGCGGGGTATAAATCCAATCTCTTCTTCTTCTTCTCTTCCACAAAAGTGTCTAATCTCCTTAATCATAGCATAGTTACTGGTCTTTGTGCTATGTCTGCATTCATATTACCAAGAGTGTGGGAAAGAAGCACAAACATTATAATAGATTTTTTATTATTTTCATCTTGGTTCCAAATTGTTGGAGTGGTAGTCCGAAAGTCACATAAAGTCCTGGAAACTAAGATTTCATTTCATATTCGTTATGGTGTGGAAGCAAGCTGGAATGCAAAAATGGATAAAGGTGGTACATTAACAAAACAAAACAACCCATATTATATAACCAACAGAACACAATGGGTGCGTTCAGACGGGGGATTTACAACGGTTAGGGTGCCGGTTCCAACCGGTGTACTTACGGGCGTTCAGACGGCGAACATCTGCCTCCCGTCCCTAACCGTTGTAAATCCCTTTACACCATTGCACTCTGCCACTAGGTCCGAAGTGGTGGTAAACAGAGTGCAACGGTGGCTTTCGATACAAACCGGCATCTGATCGCTCTCCACCGGTGCCTAGCCACTTCCGTCGGAAGCCTGAGGCTTCCGGCTTTCCCCCGCCATTTTTTTTAAACTCTAAGCGATATGCGCTCGGGCAAAGCTTCGCCACGAGCGTTTGTGAAGAAAAAAAAAAGGCCTTACTTTACTGTCCCGGAGGAGTCCGGGACTTAAGCGAGGCCGGGTTGGGCTTTAAACTTTAAAGGTAAGTGCTTACCTTTAAAGTTTAAATGTACGGGGGGGGGGTTGAGCATGCGCAAAAATCACCATTCTCTGAATGGCTGCCTGTGCGCATGCTCAAACAGTCCTTTAAAAAAACAAACAAATGCCGACGCCCGCAGCGTGTGAGCGGGCATCCACCGGAGGGCTCCACAGACAGGAGGGTGAGTCTGATCGCGTTTCTGCCGGCATAAACTGCACCGGTTCCAACTGGTTCCAACCGGTGCAGTTTATGCCGGCAGAAACGCCCCGTCTGAACGCACCCACTAAGTGCCATTGTGCATGATTATTGCAGTGTTATGTATATTATTACAGCCTTGGATCAATGTATTGCATGCATATTATAAATAAGTCTGCCTCTACCAGGAAGTGACTTTACCATGTTGGCTTGACACTCTGGGATTTACCTAAAACTCTATGGTAAAGTGATGCTTTTTTTTGGATCTCTGCCCTCCCCCCACATCTCCTACTCTCACCTGAAATGGGTGAAGTGACCCTGTACGCTGATCAAAAATTAGCTATCTATTTCATTTATATTTCACCTTCCTTGCTGACACTCAAAGCAAATGATAGCTAAAAACAACACAGTGAGAATAGTATAATAATGAGTTCACCTACACAATGTGAATAATAATTTGTTTCCCTAATGTGTCTACATTCACACATATAGTTGACATAATAGTGAAATATCATTGAGAAGAGTTAAAAGAAGGCCCCTCTTTAAAATGGAATAAAGACCTAATGTCCTTGAGCTGAAGTTTTACGTAGGTGGACCCACTGGTGGACCTCCTCGTGGTATTTTTGGCCACTGTGTGACAGAGTGTTGGACTGAATGGGCCATTGGCCTGATCCAACGTTGGCTTCCCTTGTGTTCTTATGTAGAGTTGCCAGGTATCCCCTGGCCACTGTCAAGGGATGGGGGTGAAGGCTGCCAGACCCAGGTTGGAGAACCCCTGGAGATTTGGGGATGGAGCCTGGGAAGCACAGGGACCTCCGTGGGGGACGGTGGTAACTCTGGAAACCATCTTCTTGCCTCTCACTCTGCTGCCTCCGTTCCTATGACTTTAGCCACATAGTCTGATACACAGAAATGAAGATGAAGCTTTCTCCATCGCTTCATCTCCAGACCCCCCCAAAAAAAGTATAACCTGATTAATTTCTGCTATTAAAAACATAAAGACAGTCCGTCTTTCAGACAGACAGCTCTGAGCCCTCTTTGCTTTAAAATGTAAGACGTCTTAGCACAAAGTTAATTGATTTTCAAGGACACGATGTAAGCAACATAAAGGACAGTCAGAGGAAAGAGTAATTGCCAGATAGAAAAGTAATCAGCACAGAAACTATAGAGTCCCAATAGATATAGGCACAGTCTTTGAAATGGAAATCTCTGGTTTGGGTAAATTACACAGTGTTCTAGATTAATCTGGCAGTGTACACAATAGAATGTTCTGTATACTGTTTAAAATAATATCTAGCCACTTGAAAGCTTCATGTACTTATTCATCCCCGTGATAAGCTAGCCCTTTTTATACTGTTTCAGATGTCAATCATCGCAGAAATATTTCATATCTGGTTTTGAACCAATCTAAGAGGTGGGGCTCTCTAGCCATGAGTACACACGCACTGAGGAAGCATTTTAAGATTGCTGCCTAGAAAAAGGCCATCCCTTACTTGACTTGCTAGGACACTAACTTCAGACTCAAAAGTATGATCATTCATTTTCCACTTGGGGGCCAAACCATAACATTGCATTCCAGTCCCTTCTGGCTTTACTTCCTAGTAGCATAAGTAGCCTTTCCCCTGCTTTGGGAAAGGCAGTAATCCATATATTTCTAGATTTGTAATTTCAAAGTATACTTTCAAAACTCTAACAATGTTTGTTTTATTGCCCTAGTGTTTGACAGAAGGCAATTCTAAAATCTTGGCTAAAGAGAAAGACAACCTTTCTGAGCAGACCTTTGGAACCCATGGAACCAACAGACAGCATTTGGAAAGCCATCTTGATTACAATATACACGGTGGTGTTGATTGGAGGGGTGTGCGGAGTCATCAAAATATCGTTTCTGCTTGTCAAAATGAATACTTTGTCAGTGACCACAACATCAGTCATAAATCTAGTGGCAGTTCACAGCCTTTTCCTTGCGATGGTGCCATTTCGGCTGTACTACTACGCCACGGACAAGTGGGACTTTGGCCATCCCTTCTGTAAAATTGTGAGCGCGATGATACACATCCACATGTACCTCACCTTTCTCTTCTATTTGTTTGTTTTGGTAACCAGGAGCCTTTTGTTCTTTCAGTGGAAAGATAAGTTGGAGTTCTACAGGAACCTGCATGCTGTGGCAAGCAGCGTGGCTATATGGATTCTGGCTGTTGTTATTGCCCTGCCACTCATCCATATTTGCTATGGGACAACAGGGCGTTACGAGAATGCCACCTGTTTTAGGTTTCACCAGGAGCTAAAGAACAACTCGGTGAAAGGACTGAACTACGCTGTTATTTCTGTCATAGTTGCAGTTACTTGCACATTTTTGGCTCTGGAAGTTTTCATCATTCTCAAAGTGGTGAACAGGCTATCCGGACCTGTTTGTTCCCACCAAGAGTTTCGGGCACAGTTACAAAGTTTGGTTTTTGTGTGTTTCATCATTCTTTGTTTCCTTCCTTATCACTTTTTCCGAATTTATTACCTTCAGCGATATGTGGATGGTTCTCAGTTGGAGATGTACAATGAAATTTGCTTGAGTATCACTGCAGTCAGCTGCCTTGATTTGTTGTCCTTTGTGTTAAGTGGAAGCCGGTTCTGGAGGCGAGAAAGCATTCTGTTTTCATGCTGCCCGACAGCCATCTGCTGCAGAGCAACAGGGTCTCCTGCTGGATAGGAGAAAGGTGTATGGCTCAGGTTTCTTTGGACTCACCATTTTGAGAAGTTATGCGTATTTTGCGTACCTTGAAAAGTACCCCAAAAATGTATTCTTGACTGCATTTCGTGGATGTGGCATAGAAGTTACAGCAACTGCATCATAACTAGAGATTTACTTATTATTCCCCTTTTAAGAGAACAAGTGGAAAGTGGGGGAATCCCCCTGTGCCATATTTATAAATGCATGATTAAAGGGAAATTTAAAAAAACGAAAAGTCGATGCCTCTTTATCTATACGTATATATATATTGATTTACTGCATTGACCTGTAGTAGCACCGGGGACTTGAACTGCAAACCTCAGGGGCAGAGGTTGGGTATTGCCACAGCCCCAAGAGTTAGGAGTGATGCTGGCTTTCCAGAGATGTTAAAGTTTGACCTTCCGGTTCCTGCCCAATGACATCTCCCCAGCTCACAGGCCCGTAGCTACATTGGATCATTTCAGGGCACGCCCCCCCCAACTTTCCACCCGAGCCCCCCAACTCACTACCCTGGACAGGGTTGCCTCTGATACTGGGGGGCTGAAGAGGAGACTCCTTCAGCAGG